TAAAGACGCATTCTAATAATCACATTTTAATTTGATTATACCTGTAAAGTCCTTATTACCAAATGATGACACCTTCACAGGTACTGGGGATAAGGGCTTCAACATATCTTTTCAGAGGTCACAATTTAACCTATAACAAAGGCTATCCAAATTTGCCCAAAGCAGGTGGTCAATACAAAAGAGTTATTATTCCTGAACATCTAAGATTCAACTTTCTTCCTAGTACTTCTGAATCATCTTGTACTTCACATGTACATTAATTTATACAATATTCTTTTTCTCTTGAAAATGTGTTATCAAATGAATGGTTTGTTTTACGTCTTAGAACTATACACACATAGTGTAAGCTGTTCTAAAATAAGACCAAAAAAAGCCCAGTGTGGCAACGGTCTGAGAGTATCTGGTAGGAAAAAATGGAGGTGGGTGCCCCCAGATAGAGTTGACAGCCAGCAGAAACAGAAAGAAAAGGCCCTGGTTCCAGCAGGCCTGGGAGTACTGATTCATTTCACAGCATTCCCTGAGCACTTACTGTGTACCAAGTGTCTAGAGATGGAAGGAACTATCAGTCCCCTGAGCTGAGTCTTCAGGGCCTAGAGACGTAGCACAGTGCACCCATGACTGCGTGTGAGTCAGGGTGAGACAGAGCAAGCTTCTCAAGGAGGTGGAGGAAAACAAATCAATTTGGGAGATGATAGAATCGCAGTATAGACAAAATGGAAATTGTTGACAACATACCTGTATTAAAATGCCTGTTTGTGTTTACACACAGCATGGCTTTGCTAAAATCCTGTATTATTATAGGGTTAAGTTCAGAGAAAACAATTTAATGATGAGCTCACATGGCCTAGATTGGAAGACCTGTCTGAAATGAGGGTGATTCAGAGACCCCAGAGATAATTTGCGTCTGCTGTTTGGGAGCTATTCAGACCTGTGGCTAGAATCCAGGGCTCAGTCCAATGCCCCTGGCTACATGACTACCATTGAGCAAATGCTGCCTAGTCTGGATGAAAATCTTTGACTCCAGGAAGGTGAGGATGCTTGCAGACATTTGTCTCCCAAAAGGTCCACCTGCCTCCACTTGCTGACTTCCGTCTCTTTCTAAGTGTTGCTCCCTCTACGTGGAATTCCCTTCCTTCTCTTCCCAGCCTGGAATCTTATTTGTTCTTTCAGACTGAGCTCGGAAGTTCCCATATCCTGGAATGTTATCATGCACAATGCTGTGTTTTGATTATTCATTTCTGTGTGTTCTGAGGGCCTCCCACAGCACCTAGCACAAAGCAGATGCTTTTGAAAACAAGCATTGGGTGAAGACAGCAGAAGGATGAAAGGTTACAGGCTGCCCGCACCGAAAGTGTGTCTTAGGGGAAGCCAAGGGGAGGAAAGGACATCAGAGTTGGGGCTGAGGGTCCCAGAGGAATGTGACAGAAAGCCAACACTGAAGAAGAAAAGGAGAAAAGACAACAAGGATGATGAGGTTGAAAACAAGAGAGTTGCATGGGCAGCTGGTTGCTGACCTCTGCTACATGTTCCTTCCTGTCGGTCCCATGTACCAGGCTACATCACCTGACTTGGGCTTTGCAGGCACAGGTCACTGAAGAAGGGCATCCCGTGAGCTTCCCTATTCACCCTGCAGAACTTCCAGAAAGCAGAAAAAGCTCATATGGGAAGCAGGGGGTCACTGGTAGCTCTGCAGGTCCAGGCACAGCCTCTCCACTCTGCCTCCCAAGACAAAATGGCCCCTTCTGCCTTCAGTTGGAAGCTTGCTCTGTGAGAGATGATCATCTGCCTTCTCCTGAGAACCACAGCTGATTGCAGAAGCTCCACTGAGTTCTTGCAAGTCTCCTCTTCTCTCAGCAACTTCTGTTTGCAAGTCCCAAGAGAAGCCTCCCTGAGGATATATCTCCTTATGAGATCTTGAAGAAGGTGAGGGGGAAGTTGCAGATTCAAGTAGAATCACAGGTATTGCCTCATCCCTTGCTTTCAGTGACCTCTCAAGTCCTGCCCAAGATCTCCAACTCCCCAAACAAGGCCCTGGAATCTATCAACCCTTGTTCAGACTCTAGACGAAACCATCTTCCAGAGAGATCTCAGAATCGGAAAGCCCACACTTAGCCAAGGCTAGCTAAATTTGCTAGGAGCAAAGAGGGCTCTTTTAGGAAAAGGCAAGCTGCATTTTGGAAGTGGATAAAGTCCTGCGGTCTACGCATATCCTCTAACTGGGAGTAATCAGAGCGTATACTAAAGGAACTTAGAGTGGGGAATTTCAGGTCGAAAGGGAGTCAGTCTTGATAAATGGTACCTCCATACCTCTGAGTGCTGTAATAGTCCCAGCAGCCTTGACCAGGATGTTCCTCCTCCTGCTGGGCCAGCAGTGAATCTGGTGTGGAACACAAGTCTTCTAATTCTATACTCTCCACTGTACTATAGTATCTCAGGGAGGAATCCTGGTCTTACAAAGAGCTGGGTCACAGCCACTTCCTTCCCTAACGCAGGTTCTAGTGAAAGAATCAGAATATACCAGGATTCTCTCCTCCAGGGCCCCGCTCTTCAAATGTCTGTCTTCTAAACTTCATGTTAGATCCCATGTAAATAATGTATTGGACAAACCACCAACATATCAGAAAGGTGGCAATAGTTTGAGGCAATATTTAAAACCATGGTTCAGATATTCACTGATGCTTTTGGGATACTTTAACATATATCCACACCAATTGCCACATGTATAAACTTTCTGGTTTTATTTAGGGGCTATGTTTTTTTTTTTAATCAGTTTTTGAACTTTTTTTTTGTCCTGGGGTGGAGAATGTTAGACACTTCCAATAAGATGGCCCTAGAATTTGATGCCAAGTCAAGGGGAAGCTAAAACAAAACTCAAACTTTGCTTAAAAAAAGATTGGAATATTAATGTTGCATATGTGTTCAGGTCACCCGTGGGTCTGTCTACACAGGCCTGTGAAACTATATGCCCCCATCCCGGGTGTAACACTACAAAAGGTGGAAAGCAGATTACCGGAAAGACATTTTGTGTTTTTCTAGAATGAGGATGCTGGAAGTTTCTAGCTTTTGGTTCCATGGCAGCACTGGTAGACTATAAGGCTAGACCTCTAGTGTAGTTAACAGTGGAGGAATCCACCTCTTGAAGTCTGGTGATTTGAGGCCTTAGGATAGTCTACTTTTTCCGGTAAGTCTTAAAGGACAGGCTCATACGCTTCCTTTGGCAATTGGCTTGTCACAACAAAAGAACACATTGAAAACTTGCTTGTATATTACTGTTTTATTATCCAGGCTATGGCCTAGTCATCTCTAGAAGGAATGCTAAAATAGAGTGTGTGAGCACCAAGAGCAGTGTTCAGCTCCAAAACTCTGTGAGACTTCACCAAAAGTAGTATCTGGACTCTACACAGCCTAGCTGGCCACTGTCTATGAAATTTTTGAGAGAGCGATAATGCCTGATATTTCAAGTGTTTGAATTGACAAGAGACCCCCTGCCCTATGATATCTACTTGGGGTGAGACCATCAGTCATTAAGATGGTGCTGGCCACCTTGACCACTGACAGGTTCTCCTTGCCAGCAGTCTGACCTGCAGATTTGGCTAGACATTGAGTTGTATATTTATCCCACTGGCCCCTGGGAACTTATATGAGCTTCTCTGTTCCTCAGTTCCTCTTCTGTATTTCAATATTCACTGGGAACCTACTTGGAGTTAGACAGCGGACATCACCTTGAGGATGACATGGGAACAGGACCAAAATTTTTCAGACAGGGTCTTAGTGCTTTGACAGCTAAAAGTTTGATTCAGGTTACTCATCCTTAAAACCAGCTCATATAATAATATCCACTCCCCAGAGTGAGTGTTGGGAAGCCTAATTACCACTTGTGAAATGTTTTCAAGTCCTCAGAAGAAAGGTGATACATCACAGCAAGGTATGATTCTCACAATTGTGATCTTCTCAAGCTTCCCCTGGGGCTAAGCAGTATAAAACTGCCATTCATGAAACTCTGCTATTGTAACAAAGCATAGCTATTATCCCTAATGAAATCATGTTTAAGATTCTGCTGTGCTCATGAAAACCTGAAATCTACCGGAAGTAAAGACAGAAGACTAGGTCACTTGATGTGAGGGTGTCCTGCTCTTGGATTCCAAAAGCAAAAAGAATCCTTAGGAAGTTCATAGTTGAAAGAGCACCAGCTAGCAAATCATGGTATGCACCAGGAAATGTGCTATGCATGGTTTCATTAAATTTTGCTGACAAGTTGAGGAAGTAGGTTTTATCATCTCTACTTTGCAGAAGAGACAAACTGAGGCCCAGAGATGTTGCCTTGTCTGAATAAGAAGTGGCACTTACAAGCAGGATGGCCAGGAGTTGAGGAAGAGGCCAAGTCTGAGATGACCACCAAGTCTATACATGTGTTAAGGAGACTGAATTAGGTTAGAAAAGTGAGAAAGGTTCTCCAGTTTTGATATTCCCTTGAATAGGCCACTTGCCAACAAGGACAGGAAACCCAGCGGGGGAAGATGACTGGAAGAAAGATGATTTGGGTGCCTGATAACTTCAGTTTGGGTTGGTCAGCTCATGGTGACATGTTGGCCTGGGTCTTGTAAAGGAAGATAATATGCAAACTGTAAAATCGCTGGAAGATCTGACAGGTGACACCTGGGATCGCCACAAGGCAACATCTCATTTGTTGCCAGTATATATCACTCTTCAGTTTTCACTCAGAGAAATCTCTGTAATGCAGTCCAAGCTAGGATGACAGGTGTTTCCGAGGAACTCATCGCTGCACTTCTGGGTGGTACCCTCCCTTTTTGCAGGCCTTCAACCAGTGTGCGTCCCTGCGCGGCGCTCCACCCTCTTCCCCGCGGGCCCTCTCCTTGTTGGCTCTCCCCGTTCTTGCCCGGGTTGTGCGGCGACGAGGGGCCTGGGGCTTCGCTGGCCCGGCGAGCTCAGGGCGGGGCTCGGGCGCATGCGCGGCCGCTGAAGTACGGAAGCCCGGAAGGAGGGGAGGTGGGGGCAGTGGCTCAGGTTTCTCCTGGCGGCGGCGGTGGCAGCAGCAGCGGCGGCGGGGACGCGGCTAACGCTGGCACCATGAGCCCGCTGTAAAGCGCAGGCTGCGCGCCGCCGGGAAAGTGGGGAAGAGGAGGACGCGGCAGTGAAGTTCTTCGCCATGAATCTGAGGGGCCTTTTCCAAGACTTCAACCCGAGGTGAGTACCCGCCAGGGTTTGGCCCCGGGCTGTGCCGGGGCTGCGAGGAGGCGCGGTGGCTGTGAGGCTGCAGCCAGTGGACGCGGGCGCTTGTTGTGCCTTGCGGTGGGTGCCAGCTGCTTTTCGGGACGGCAGTCGGCCTAGACGCTGGTCCCCCGTTTCCTTCTCCCGCGCCAACTCGTACTGCCTGGCCATGGCCCAGGGCGCCCGGCCGAGCCGGCCCTCCCCAAGGGAGCCCCAGTCCTCTCCGCTTGCCCTCCCTCAGTGCTGTCGCCAACTTCCCTCTTGGAGTCATCGTCCCCCACTCCACTGCCTGCCCTACATTTTCTGTGCCGGGTGGTCTCGCTAGGTCCAGCACCCTTACCCCCCACCACCCCAGCTGTTTCCTCCAGTTCCTGTCAACCCTTGAGGTTTTCCTTGGATTTGTGCCCGTCCCTCCTTTCTTTTCCTTAGCGTTGACCTGGTGTCTGAGATAGTATTGAGTCCTTGCAGTCAGCGTCAGGGTACGTGAATACCTTACATAATGCCTTTGGGGGTGAACCTGATCATTTATTTTCCTTATGTCTTTGCTTGCCAGTCTTCACTGTAAGTTTATTTGCAGGAAGTTGATATGCCGTCCTTATTTCCCAGATGGGGGAAACACAAGTGGACAGTGCTGTGAAAACACTAGCCAGGGAATGAAGATGCTGTCCTTGCATTCCCTTCCCCGCTGGTCTCCCACTCCCCATGCCTGGCACATAGTAGGCACTTAGAAAATGTCAGTGGTACTGAGCCAAAAGATAAGCCACTGATTCCCTGCCCTCCTTTGAATCATCTGTAAAATTACTAGTTAGTTTAAGTGATTTCTTAAGTCTACTACTCTGTGAAAGGAATGCCTGTTTCCTTTATTTGCAAGAGGAAAGCCATGCACTCAGTAAGTCATTTACATGTTACCAGCCACGTCCTTTAGATGCTGGGCTGTCCCAGCTTAAGGATGAAGAAGGGCATGTAAATAGGTGACTTACTATACTGTGTAGAACTAGACTGTGGAGGTCTGGTGGAGAGCACTGTCTTGTCTGCTTGTTGGGGTTAAAAGGATATGAGAGCACTGTGTGTGTGAGTGAGAATGTGGGGGGGTTCTCTTCAGGGATGGTAACATTTTAAGCTGTGAACCATTGTAGCTTCCTAAGTGCTCTTATTGCTGAGAGTTCATGATGCCCTGTCACAGTGCAGTCATTATCACTGTTGTTCTTGAAGGCGCTCTGCACAGAGGAGCTTATTTAGAGCAAGTAACAGAAAGCTAACTGCAGTGCCTTCCTCTGCTTCTCCTAGGAGTTAGGGTTGGTCTGCAGGACAACCGGGTTGCTGCTGGAGCTGGACAAGCCTTGTGTGTCTTCCTTGTTTGAAGAGAGTGATAAGAGTGATAAATAAAAGCTGAATTGTTTTATGTGCTTGGGCAACCCACTTATCTGTCTGTTTAATCTCTAGAATGAGTTATCATCTCAACAGGATAGTGAAGCTGAATTAATGATTGATTGTCAAGTGCTTTAAAATAGAAAGTTCCATGACTTGTTTGCAATGTGACAGATAATCAAGAAGCTACTAGGAGTTGCTTCAAGTGGTCTAACAGTCTCTCCGAGTTGCCAACGCAAAATTGAACTGCTCTTAACCATTTTTCTTTAGCTTTTTTTTTTACCAAAATACTAGTATATGAAAATCATAATGAAATACTCTGTATTAAACAGATATAGAGTGGCCATGAGCATATGTGTCAGTACCTTAATTCTATCTGGATTAAAATGCATTTCTACCTGAAAAATTTAAGGATCTTTTCTACTGTGCCATTTTCTGGATTTCATATTGTCAGCAGGAGAGAAGGGTAATACTTTATAGATGTTTCAAGATATTGTGTTTCATGTCATATATGCACATTCTTGTTTTTGACTTTACATTTTGGTCTCGTTCCATACCGAGAAAGCCTTCCAGACATTTGGAGAGCAAACTTAGGGATGCAAACAGCAGTGCCTTGTGTTGGGGCCTCAGTTCTTGTTGCTGCTGTCTTGCTTCCTATATCAAATTGTGAGTCAAGAGATCGTTTCTGTCCCACCCTAGGACTTTGACACAACTTCTCTTTATCAAGAATGTTTCCCTCTCCTCCTCACCTAGCTAGCTCTTACTGACCCTTGAGATCTCCGCTCTCTTGAAACCTGCTAAGGGAAGTTCCCAACCAGGTCTCCTGCTTCCCGGTTGTAAAATTAGCTGTAGTGTGTCGTACTTTTCCAACACAACACTTATTTTTACTCTTGCATTTCTTTGTATGTTTATTTGCTTAATACATCTCTCCCTCACTAAACTTCAAGCTCTCTTGGGCCAGGGCTGACTATATCATTATTGTAACTTGTATACATGGAATAGAGACTGACTCAGTAAATATTTGTGGAATGAAGAGTAATAATTGTTCAATGCCAGTAATAGAAATTTAGAGCTACTGTTTTCAACCACCACTGTCCTGGTGATCTGCAGCCTGGTTTTCTTCTTATCTTCTTTCTGCCTATAGAGTGCAGTCATTCTTCTGAGAGATGGAAAAGACATGACAGTAAGGCAAAATGTGACTGTCTTTACTTTGCAGATTATGTGTCACAGAAATAGTCACTGTCATGTTTGGTGGTTTCTGAGGCAGGGTCTCTGGCTCTTGATCTCGTTTCCTATCTTAAAGATCTCAGTGAGTTTGAACCCACTGGAGGGTTACCTGGGCTGTGGACACTGCAGTGGTATGGAATGATTCAGAAGTGTCAACACTCAATTGCTCAGAGCTGCCAACTGACCCTCTTGCCCATTTCTACCTGGCACAGAACTGGTTGATCATGAACTTCTTTTTTAATTGCATTTTAGTCACACAGGTTAAGACTTGCCGAAACAGACACCAAGAAGACCTCTCTTGAATGCTTAAGGCTTCCTAACAACTGTTGGTGGGATATATATTCTATCCTAGGTAGGGAGCCCTATTTCATAGAATAAAAAATTACAGCTGTGCAGAACCAGCGAATTCTGATCCCAGGACATGGCTGGGAGGTGGCGATCTGGGAGTCGGTGGCATTAATCAGGCAGGGCCTAGAGATTTTCTGCTACCTTGGTGAAGTTGCTGGCTCAGAGAAGCCCTTTAGCTCCGGTATCTAGGCAGCGCCGGAAGGCTGGAGAAATTTTGCTAGGCTTTCTGAGTTGTCTACAGCAAGCTCCTTATGAGAGTATGACACATCCCTCAGATAGCATAGACTGGGAAAAGGCTGAGAAGTGTCTCTTTGGGGGTCCTATTGTGTGGGAATGCAGTACAAATGAGGTCAGTAGTGTTTTGGAAACTTACATGCTGTATCTTCTAAAGCCAGCCTGTGTCCTATGTAAGTAATCTTTTCTCTTACTTGAAGTCAGGAAAAATGAACATGATTGCTGGTAATAGTGCACTAAACGCAGCTACCTGACCTTTAATTGTTGTCTCCGAAGTGTATTTAAAGCATTTATTCATGGGACATCTCCAAGGTTCCTACCATGTGTCAAAACATGTGCTATGTGTTATAAGAACAAAAAATGTTACTCTCTCAGTGTTCAAGTCTGGTAGAGGAAGTAGATGTGGAAAGAGAAATGAAAACATATGAAGCATTTCAGAGAGAGGAGCCATATGTTATGGGACCATGAAGGGCAGAGCCACTCTCTAGGCCAAGCAGGAAAGGTTCCATATGGAAGTGACTTTTAAGCTAGATTTTGAAGGCTAATGGTAGGGATTTGTCAGACTAGAGGACAGGACAAGGGACAACATATGCTAAGACATGAGACCTTGAGAGGGCCTGGTACATTTAGACAGTGGAGGAAATTTAAGTGTGGTAAGAGTGCTTTAGGTAACATGGGTCCTGTGTTTTAAAAATACGTAGTGTTAGTCACTGCAAACATTGTAGTCTTTACAGAGTACTTTAAAAACCAGGTTGTCAGTACAAGGGTATTATCAGTACCATCCATGAACTAAGTCCTCACCTGGATGACTTTATCTGTTGTTGTATCGTACTAAGCCACTTATAATCAGAAAATTATCTTGAATTTACTGGGGCTATTAGTAACAATTGTGATTTATTGAGTTTTAGAGCACTTTGAGCATATTAGAGAGTTTGTGGTTTTCCTAAAGCCATGCAGGCAGTAAGAAGTCATATCCAGATCAGTCCCCCGAAGCCTTTCCTGCATACCATACTACCTTTGTGGTTTAGTGAGAGCCCTTCCCCTTAATGACAGAGTAAGCCTCATACTAAGGAACCTGCTGTTTGGGAGTTGTAGGTTATTAAGCAATATAAACCTTATATTGGAGCTTATATATCATTCAAGGAAGTTACTTAAGGAAAATAAAATACATAAATTTATTCCATTGCACATACTCCTTTCACTCACCTAGAATTTCCTTTAGAGTCAGTTTTACAAATCATGTAAGAAAGTTTGTCTCATTGCGTAAATGATCATATATCATTTTGAAACAAAATAGTGCCACCTAGTTTGATCACATATTTTATTTATTAAACTTCACGGTGCCTGGGTTTGGCAGTTTCCAAAACTAAAATTCACTCTTCAGTAAAGATTCAGCAACATTAGGATCTTCTACAAAACAGACTGCAGGCTTTAAGGCCTTCCAATAGGGAAAGCTCCATGGATAGTTTGAGCAGTGACATATTGAAATTAGTACATTGCCTCCCAAAAGAAATGCTTAAGGAAGACTTGTCTCATTTGAATGTCTACATTTTGGTTTTGAAAATTACATCCCTATTACTTGTTAACTACACATATTTTTCTTGACTGTGAGTTTTTGAAGGCCAGGATTTTGAGGCACTGAATAAATGTGCAAATAAGTAAATATTGGGTACAAATAGAAATGTGCCACTTGAAAATCTTTGTTGTAGGGATTTGAGGAGATAGATGTAGGATGGAGGAGTATTAGTTTCCTAGGGTTCCAGAGGTTAAGCTTCCTAATTATTAAATTGGGGGTTTCT